ATGAAAAAAATAACCTAGCTTATTTGCAATCTTCGTCGGAACACGTTCAGTCGCATCAAGTTTGCAGACCGCACACGTGTGTATAAGCGAACACGTTCGGTTTGGAATTGTTCTGAGACCGAACACGTTCGGTAACGAACGGTTTGGTGACCGAACTATCGGATTGGTGCATGCCTATTCGCAAGCCAATTAATTTAGAAAAAAATGTACATTGTTTCATTATATAAGTAATCAGATGTTGTTAATAAAAAAAAAGATAATTAATCAAAAGGAAACAAGCACAATTAAGACATGATATTGAAAAGAAGGCTGGTAATAAAAGAACGATGATCCAGCTGTCTATTTCAAACAAGATTCAAAGTGGTTTGATGTGTTCTTAGAATGAGGATGTTGTCAAGTTTTTAGAAGAAGGCTAATGATTAAATTCAATGTTTCGGATTCAAACGTTCAAACAACAGATTGTTTATCGGAGCCTATAAAATGGAGATGCTACAATACTGTGATACCCGTACTTCCTCAAATCTTCTTCCTTGGTAGACGTGTTCCGACTCATCCAAACATTTATCGGTGGATCGAGCAAATTTGTACAGAAGAAGTTTATGCATTATACTCGCTGTCGTGGCATCTTGGAAGCAGGTAGTGGTGTGACATCCAAAAAACGGCGAAAAGAAGACGAAGACGCTGATTTCGATTTGTGTGTAGCCAAAACGGCATTAACTATTGGTGAAATAGAGTTTGAAGATTATCTTCATCATGTAAGACGCGTAGCATATAAGTATATTTTCGAGGTTGGTGGAAAAAAGGAGGTTTGAAATAGACAGCTGGATCATCGTTCTTTTATTACCAGCCTTCTTTTCAATATCATATCTTAATTGTGCTTTTTTCCTTTTGATTAATTATCTTTCTTTTATTAACAACATCTGATTACTTATATAATGAAACAATGTACATTTTTTTCTAAATTAATTGGCTTGCAGAATGGGAGATTTTTTCGTTCATATTTTGGCTTGCAAAATGGAAAATACGAAAATGTATAAAAAGTTAATTAGCTTGCAAACTGGGAAGCGACCATCGAATAATATTTTACAAGCTATTGTGACCATACCAAACTCCTTTTGGCAACTCCACAGACTTTACAAAAATACATCACTTTCGTTCGATGTATTTTAATTTCCAGTGAAAATCAAAATACTCACAGCTCAGCCAAAATGAATCTGATAATCATGCGGATTTCGGAACATTAACGTTCACATATGCTCCTCAGTTTGAAATGGCTAAATCATAACAAAATGATTTAGTTTTCCAGTAGAATCACTTCAATACTTCAGGAAAAAATCCTTAATTTGTATGTATTTGCTTCCAAGGACTTATACAAACAAGCATTTGAACCAAAAGAGCGTCAAATCGTTTTTGAATAAAAACCCTTAGACCTTAAATACTTTTCCTTTGAAACGTTTTTTGAATAAGAAACCTTTAAATCCCTGTTGAGACTAAGTTGTCTTTTTGAAGACAAACTATTTGTCTTTCATCGTTCTTCCCTCCACATATAATTGATAAAAACGCGTCTAGACCGAAAATCCGAATAGGTACGTCTCTTAACTGCTTTTATATTGTATTTCGATCAAGTCAAATTTCACATCCTACGAGTTTTTTCAATTTTTGTCATTTAAAACTTTGTCCAAAAGAGTTAAAAACCATATATTCTTGACTAGCTCATCAAGCTCTATTCAACCATGTATAGATAAACGAAAAATAAAATCCGCTCGAATTTTGTATTGTAGCTTACTAATTTGTCAAATTAGAGATTTATGTTTAACAGCATTATTTCATGTTAGGTTAATAATTATATTTTTTTAAGGATGTTGTTTCGTTTAAGTATTTTAATATTTGCTTTTATACGGTTTATCTGAAAGATATGAAGTATGGTTTGAAAAGAGAAACTTTTGCTCATTTCTTCTGTTTTTCTTTCTGTCTTCCTTCCCTTTTTTCTATTGTCTGCTTTATCCCGAGCTCATTCTTGCGAGATGGTCAGATTTCATCGAATCCCCTAGCATTACAAAAGCCTGGTAAAAAGTAAGGCTTTCGTAACACGGTAAAAAGACATAAATTTAAAAAAACAAGGGCTTTCGTAAAGATGATCAAAGGAATTAATGTCTAAGTAGATGCTGTGACATGGCTTCCGTAACACTCTTTAATGGGACTTCCGTAACGAAGTCTGTGTGTACTTTTTACGGTAAAATAGTTGATGATTAATGCCCTCTAACAGGACTTTTGCAACAGTCTTTTACAGGGCTTTTGTAACGAAGTGTATATTTACTTTTCAAATTGAAATGATGTGTGATTGTACTCATTCACTCTCACTGTTTCTATCTGTTTTCTCTTTCATTTACAATACGAAGTAGCATTCGTTACGAAAGCCCTGTAATAATACAGCATTATCATTTATATCTGGGATAAAAAGTACATATACACTCCGTTACAAAAATCGTATAAAAGGGTCTTACGAAAGCCCTGTCAGGGCATCTACTAGAGATTAATCCCTTGCATTATCGTTAGGAAAGTCCTGTTAGTGATCTTACTGACTATCTCACAGAGTGGATATAACCCTATTAATAGTGCAACGAACGCTCTGTAAAAGGAAGGTTTTCGGAACGAAAGCACTTTAAGAAAAGAGGAGATTCGATGAAACGCTACCTATGAGATATAGTTTACTCTATTAAATATTGAGTTGATGAAGTGCATGGTTTTCACCTGAAGTTTCCTGATTATTACGAATGATATTAATCAAAGTGCGAATATGTATATCTTTTGTTGATGTTTATTGTTCATTATTAAATTTTTGATGAATGTTTATGTCATGTGTGCTGAACTTGTGAGGCTGTCCTTCGCTTGAGATTATAAATGATGTGATAATGATGTTTTTAATGTTGTTTATCTCAGTAATGCCTGATATCTCGCGATTTTAGATATCAACAAAATAGATATTAGTGACATATATGGGATATTAGTGAAATGCACGAGCTATTAGTAAAATACAGGAAATATTAGCTATGTAGATGAGAAATCACTGAATATCTGAGATATTAGCATATTGAATCAGATATTAGAAATTTTCGAGATTTTAATAAAACACACGAGATATTAGGGCACTAAAAGTCTGATTTTAGCGAATACATGATATTAACATATTGATTTAGATATTAAGAATTTCCGAGATTTTAGTAAAATACGTAGTATAGTGAGAGAGCGGCCCTTTAATTTCTTGAATTGGCACAGAACGGTGGAACTTTGTAACTAGACGCTATCTGTTCTTGGAAAATAAAAGTAACCGTTATCTGGCTGTAAGGAAACGCTATTTGGATGCATTTCTTTTATCTACCAATAATAAAAAAGTCTGCCAACAAATAACAGTTTTAGTTCCCTAATATCTCGTGTATTTTACTAAAATGTCGAAAATTTTTAATATCTAAATCAATATACTAATATCTCATGTATTCACTAAAATCGCACTTTAAGTGCTCTGATATCTCATGTATTATATTACTTTCTCATGTAGCCACTAAAATCTCGTGGATCTCACTAGTATCGCGTGTATTTTGTTGATATCTAAAATCGCGAGATATCAGGCATTCCTCGTTTATCTGTGTTCAATCAGTATGTATATTAAATTGCGTTAAACCAAAATCGATATTGTATCTGGTTTACATATGGCTTCGTGATTGATGATAAATGGGTGATGATGAGTTTTGTTGTTATAGGAAGATTAACATTACCTTTATAGGGAGGCAAAATAAGAGTTTTTGTTTATGTTTTTACTAGATTTATCGCACGTTGGTCTTCAGGGTGCGGTTTCATGTTCCGAATTTGTCGTATCGGTTAGACATTAACCGGTATGGACATCAATGGCGATATATGGTTTGTTGATGTTAATTTCTCATCTCTCTGTGTTAGGTAACGTACGAAAATTGGCCTGTAGAATAATCCTTAGAGATTATGATAGTCGTTTCTCGCAACTTCTTACTCGGCTAAATTCAACACCGCTCTCCGCTCGAAGAAAATATTTTTATCTTGCTTATTTTCATAAACTATACAATGGACGAAGTGTTTTGTCTGCTAGAAACCTAATTACATCGCCAACAAATCGACGGTCATCCGAAATAACGCATGATAAACAAATTCAAAAACCTTACTATTCAGTCCGCTTTGGCGTCATTTTTTTCTCGTACCACTGACGACTGGATGCTGTCATGCACCGTTGTGAATCAAACCAGCCACAAAATCTACAAGAGTCTTTTGAAACAACATCTTCAACTTTTCCAATTGATCTGTCTTTTCTTGTACTTTATCAACAAAATGTCTTAAGATGTACCATCCTCCTTTGATGCCAGATATGAGTCTGTCATATAAGTTTAAATTTCAAATGTAACTTGCTCTTTTTAGTATTTCTTTATTTCTTCACTATTTTTGGTGTTACATTAGCATAAGCTAGCCTTCCTTTGTAACAACCATGCTAGCAAAAATAAAAATTCAGTTCAGCTCAGTTCAGTTCAGTTCAGATTCAACGAGATTCATTATGCAACAATATAAGAAATATTGTAAAAACCATCAGAATTGAACTTTAACGAATCAACGAGATTACCGTTCTGGAAAGAATGTCATATTATCGTACTTCTTATTCCAATCTCATTTTCTAACGAAACAATACATGTAGTTTTAGATGAATCGCTTCCAAACCAGCAAGTATAGAATATATCATTGCTCAGTTGAGTTCAAGTACAAGTTTTGATCTCGTTCATTATATCTTCAACAAACAAGAACAACAGTCGATAAAGTATGAATTTATTTGGTCTCTGATGTCATTTAAATTACAACTTATACGTGAAAAAGTATACAACAAAACATTGTTATAATATTTATAAGCCAAGATATGCAACAAGCTAAATGGTGCGTTTATTATGACTTTAATGTTTATACTACAGTCTTTGTTCAATACTATAACCCTAGTATGATCGTTTATGTTCGATAGAAAAATAAATATTATTACAAAATCCAAAATTTTGAAAATCGGTTCCAGTAGAGTGTCTTATAAATCTAATTTCGACTGCAATACCTGTTGTATTTGGTTCAATAAGAGCAGTCCTCACAACATCTTGTATTGTTGTGAATGGACCTAAGGAAAAAAAGGGCAATAATAAAAGCAATCAATGCTGTACATAATATTATTTTTACCGAATGCTTCGTTATGTATCTCTTCATTTTGAACATTATAGAACTTTATGTTAATCGATACATTTGCTTCTTTGTGCACACTACCAGCTTGTGCAGTAAGTTGAACTACCGCATTCCCAGCTTCAATCCAATGAGAATAGTTCTGTACATGATTCACATTTTGATACATCGACGCTTTATTGGATGAATTATTAGCTGAAAAATAGCATCTACCGCTTATCTTCTTCTCGTTAATGATCCCATTATTAACCGTAGATATTATCGATCCTTCCGTGATATTCCAATTAGCAGTTGTACACGCAAAAGATATAGGAAAAACAAATATAGTTAGGAAATATAGCAGATTTTGTTTTTGTACTTACCTATCCGTTCACATGTTTTATTTATATCATTCCAAGCAAAATATGGTTTATCTTTGCACTCTTTTAGAGTAGAGCTCCCATTTTCACAAACATAGTAGGTGTATGCGTCCAACGGATTCAAATATTTTCCAGTTTCATTCAGACACTCGTAATTAGTTGAATTGAAAATTTCTTCGGTTACTTCTGGTTGAGAATCCATAACTGCAATCGACCAAAAAATGAAAAGTAAAAATTTATATTAGAACATATTATGTCTCTTATACTCACCTACACCTATTCGTTTACATTCTTTGGTAATATTACTCCAGACTAATGACGGTGAACAATTTTCACAGTAACCAGTGTTGCCTACACAACGAATATATCCATTTTCATTGTCTGGGTTTGGAGACAGATTGACCTCCAATCCTTTCGATGGTGGACATTTAAAGTCAACAGGTGGGCATTGTCCGAAAAGAGGCAACAAAGACAAGATTTATTATATGAATTCTAGTTTAATCTGTATGTATTATAGATGAAAACGAAACTCTCTTCATCTATCCTTATAGAATGCGTGATACCTACAGTCGAAGCGGTAAATTTTGTCCAGATAGGATAGGAAAAGGCAATTTTCGAGATATTACACAGAATCATTATAAAAGAGAGAGAATCATATAAGGATTATTGTGTCAACATAGAGCGATCAACGTGGTGTTAAAGAACAGTTTAATAAAGAATTCAAATGATCTGAGTTTCGCTCTATATTAGTCACACGATTCTATCGTACATGTCTCTCAGGGTCTCTCTTCCGAGGCGCATTAACAGTAGGAATATCCTGATTTATCTCCAATTCAATTACCGTGATTTCCAGATTTGTACAAGATGGTGCTGTAATACATGAGTCATTAGCAAATGTGTGTGACTAATACAAAGAAGCTAAAACAAATTTTGCTTTGTAGGAGAAAATAACTCACGAGTAGCGCTTATGTGCACACGGGTGTCTGATATACTATTAGACAAAAATTATTAGATGTATCTCACGCCAGACAAAACGGCATGATTGCGCACTGCATGATCATGCGATCATTGGTTAAACGAATCACGGTTGTTCCCATCTTATAGATGAGAACAATCGTAAATTGTATACCATGTGCACAATAACACAATAGTTAACCATTCTGCACCGTATATACACACATCCACAAAAAACATATCAAAAAACGCAACAATATTGATCATTAGTTCATTTATACATGTATCATAATTACAATTTATTTGTCAACAAACATCTGTGAGTGTGCAATTACTATTTATAGAATACTAGAAAATTTACCCGGCGTTACCCGGGTACCAAGGGAGGTACCCCTGTGGGTGAAGATTTTGGGATCGCACATAGCCTACGGTCTTCCTCTTGATGAATGTTGACCCCATGCAAAACGTGGTTGCTCTGAGATCCAGCATGTGGATTTGTCTAGCATAACAATCAAACAGACAAACAAAAGCTTTATATTATAGTATAGACGTTCGCCATCGTTATGTTTTTTCTGCACTGTAAGTACTTTTTCTGAGAAAAAAGCGTCGCAGATAGTATCAGTTTCACACTCTATTGACGCCAACTTAGTATGATTACTAGATACGATTGATAAGAAAAATATCACAACTTGAAAATAATTAATTTCTTGAAGTAGAATTCAGTCATCATCCAGCGACTGCTAGGTTGATAAGAAAACACTACAGTTTTGTTATGAGCAACTTTATGTGCTTACTACATATCTTTATATCGAAGGGGGAATAGTGTAGATAATCGAATGGTGTCTACACTATGGTACATATGTTAGAATATCTTGTAGTTAACTGCTGCTGCTAAACAATCGTAGTCAGTCCATCCGGTATAGCAACTAAAAACAGAGGTGCAATTTCTGTCCGGCAATTTCTTTTTTAGCGAGCACAGTAGGCAGTTTCGTTATCTGCCTGACATTGGCTATCGTTACAATTCAAACGAACACAAAACATCAAAAAATCAACTTATATTTCTCTCTTTCTATTTTGGTGTATTCTCAGAGAACACCCCAAGCCCAGCAAGCCCAACACATTTTATAGGAAGTAAGCGTCTGGTGTACCTGATTATAATCACTTCACTATACATAGGTATTCATATGAATTAGTTAACAATGAGATATGTTCTGTTACCTTCCAGTTCCGTTGTTTCCTAAACCGTTAAGAAACAATGTTAGATATAAAGAGAATAGATTTGGTAAAAATCAGTAAAAGTCACAGACGTCCAGAGATGTCAGAATATCACTACGCAGTGTATTCTCAAAAAGACACTATTTGCTGGGCTTGGCGTATTCTCACTGACAATACACCAGAATACGCAAATACATAAATTTTTATAAAATGTGCTGGGCTTGCTGGGCTTGGTGTATTCTCACTGAGAATACACCGAGCCCAGCAAATATTGTCCTAGAATACACTGCGTAGCGATATTCTGACATTTCTAGACGTCTGTGACTTTTACTGATTTTTTACCAAATCTATTCTCTTTATATCTAACGTTGTTTCTTAACGGTTTAGGAAACAACAGAACTGGAAGGTAACAGAACATATCTCATTGTTAATTAATTCATATGAATACCTATGTATAGTGAGGTGATTATAATCAGGTACACCAGACGCTTACTTCCTACCTGAAATGCACAAATGTAATCTTCCTGTTCGTTCCATTATTTCTAGTTATAGTGCTTATAATCATAACATGGCTGAATATTTGGCTAACCTATTATTACCCGCAATGTCAGTTCCTTATACATATTTGAAAGATTCTTTTGACTTTATTCATAAGGAATGTGCTAAGTAAGTATTGAGATAAAACAATATTCAAAAAGAGTGGTCTATGGATATGACTGTTATGATTGTGATGGAAGGTACATTGGTCAGACTAGTCTAGGAATCTGTAAACGAGAGAGTGGACATGAGAAAGCCATTGATGGACAAGGCTTTTTGAGAATTGCTCAACATTGGCTCCAAAACGAACATACTAACAATTGTAACTTAAAGGTGTTGACCATTGAGTCTAATGCAACAAAACGAGTAATATTAGTGCATAAAACAGAGTTTATTAGTGGACTTGTTTCTTGTTAAAAAGAGGAAAGATCTATACTTCGAAAAAACTTCCGGTTAAAATTTTTTTGATAATGATTCATCGCAGATGTGCTATAGCACATGCAATGTTACGTTTGGTAACTTTCAAAACTCGCCATGTTCTTTTATTAAACCCAACGCCATCGTACAAAAACTTGCATACTTAAAAAATGATGAGGATAATTACGTTTTTTACCGTTTTCCTACTTTATTTGAATCTAGTTAACTTGTTTTCTGTGTGTATTTTAATGTTTAATAAAAGTATCATGATAATTTGCGCTTATAACGCGATAAATTTGAGACTGCGTTAAAACCACTATACAAAATCCGTGCGCTTTACCGCGGTATTCATCGGTATCGTGACAAACAGTAGGATATCGTGAAATTGATGAATATCGCGATACATCCACCTAAAACCGCATTACGATTTAGCCAACTGCTTCTTTCATTCCGGTATTTCTACAATTTAACGCGATATCAGTCAATATCGCGATGCCGATCGATAAATATTTATCGTGGCTGAACGGAACATTGTTTTGCATCGTAATAAACCATACAGATAACGCAGTAAAAACTAACGTCGCGGTCCATCCGAACCGTCTGAGAGATTGCAATCTAGAATTCAGCCCGATAAACAATGAAGACATCGCAATATATACCATTATCAACGCCTTTATCGTGATACATCGGCGATTCCTCGGATTAAAAAACCTCATGGGTAGCACTATGTTAGCAAGTTTTCAAAGATGAACACTTTCGTGATAAATACTCATAAAAACACAATAAGATTTCAAATTCTAAGTGTTATCGTTGTGACATACTATCACTTCTTTTGGAAATATTTTTCAAGACAAGGGGTCGCAGGATGCACAACGTTCTGCTTAATAATTTGGTGGAAAATAAATTTGTTTTCGGAAGCTACGACTAACAAAACCATTAACCTAAAAGAGGAAACAAATAGATTGTACCTTCTTTCTTGTAAGGTGCCAATAATTCAAAATTAGAGCAGATTTTATTTTTGTTTATCTATACATGGTCGTATAGCGCATATCGAGATGGTTAGGACACTGTGCTTTATAACGTTTCAAAAAAGTGTTTATGTGAGAGAGAATTGGGTGATTTTGAAGACAGTCCATTTTTGGAGAAATCGGCGAATTTTCAAAAAAGTTCAGTTTTAGTTTCACTTTTGAATCATTGGCACCTTATTAACCAGGTAACACAGTGTGATTATTTGGATTTCAAATATTGATCGGAAGTCCGTAGACGTTCTCTTTCTCTCTATGTGTAGTTGTTTTACTTCTTAT